ACCCACTACCAAGCCTTGATCCAGAGCTGACTTGCAAGTTTCTGTCATATGAAGCAAGAGACCCTCAGTTGAGCAGTTTTTTTTTTGAAGCCCCACTGGTTGCAGCTTAATAAATTGTGGGACTGCAAATGATCATTTATGGAATTGCACACCTCAGCCTCGAGAATTTTCCCAGGAATGCTAAGCAGAGATATCGGTCTGTAATTGTTCACATCGTTTGGTTTGCCTTTCTTGAACACAGGAGTAATACGAGATAGTTTCCAATCACAAGGGAAGGAGGCACAGATTAAGCTATTCTTATAAAGTGTAAGCAAGCTGTGGGTAACCAGATCAGTCGATACCACTGTGGTGTTTACGATTTGTTTTACAACATAACATTGATGCATTGTAGCTAAAGAGTTCCCTTTTACTTGACAAATCTTAGGTGACCAGATAAAAGAAGCGCGCGCGGAAAAATAGTCTTCGCATTTGCTCACGTCAGCAGGAAATGCAAGGGCAAATGGGGGACCCTAAATTGAGCAATCAGAGTGCGCGCTTTACTTTGGTTAAGTTAGAACATTTTATGTCAACTGCTTGGATTTGGATAGTCAGACTTACATCAAACTTTCCAATTTGGCTTGTTGTCCGGGACTTCCAGGCTTTTCAATGTCATATTCTTTCCATTTACCCAAACAGCTAGAGGCTGAAAGCGAAGATCGAAGACGTTCAGTGCTTATAATCTTCGACTTCGATTGCGTCGAAAGTCGGTCTCTTGCCGCTTCGGATATTCGACCATATGACGAATATGAAGGAAACAAAAACATCCCAGAAATGACCTGGCTAGACTTACAAGTCTCAAATTGTAATTGCAGTTGCTACCCAACGAAAGGAAAAATCGCCGTGAAAAGCCAGTCTTCTGAAGAAGTGGCAAGCGACTCGAGTTACCAAAAGAAATAAAGAAAACACTCCATCCCAAGATACTAACCTTAATTCAGGAGCAAACCTTTACACAGATGTACTAAAAGGGACATTTAATACAGGTAGCAAAGGCTATTGATCGATCAAAAGCGGGCCTGGTGATACACCAGTCGAGGAAAGACATCAAAATTTTGGCGCCAATTTAAGCAATTTTCAACGGCCACATATTCCTACAAAGTTTGGGGACTTAAGGGGACCTTCGCTAATATTGAAAAGTGCCATTATTCAGGCACCACCAGGCGGAATAATATGCTTAAGTACTCACCAATAATAGCACAAGAGGCAAATATATCGATCAAGCGTTAAAGTAAACTACATAAACAAAGCCACTCATGATCAGTCGTCTATACCACTCATAACAAAGGCGTTTTTTTTTTTTTTCCATTTAGAGAAGGTTCAAGTACCAAAGTCAACTTAACTGTTACAAGAATACATAAAACCGTTCAAATCACCTTCCGTGCCCCTGAATAAGGACAAACAGCCGTTTAAAATTCAGTCGATTTTCCAGCGCGTGCACTCGAATTCGATGCAATGTGACACCTTCTCATCGATAATAACGCGCAAGGGCTAATGGGATACCCGACTATTTCTCCTTTCTTCCGCACTTAGAGCTCGTGGCAATTCGGGTAAAATCTACTCCAAAATCGGGTAAGCGACAGAAATCTCCTTCCTGTAGAGGATATACATTTTAGAAATAGAACGCTAAAAATACAGGAGTACACTTGAAAGGTTCGGCAAGATTTCCGTATAACCCCATACTTCATTATGTATACAAATTCTTGGATAAAAGAGCTGAGGGAAGACAACAGATTAGGGAATTTAAGCAAACCACGACGGCGACGGCAACGAGAACGTGGAAAAACAATAGATCTAATTGGCAGAACAATAGCCCAGCACGTGCGTTTTAAAACTTTGTACATTTCTTAGCCGTCCTTTGCAAAACAACAACGTAAAATCCCCAAAATTTGCGTCGTCTGCGAACCGAAACCGCGGCGGCAAATTATTTTAATTTACATTTGGAACTCAACGCTACTTTTATACGTTATGTTGAGTTTGAGGTCTGGCGCCCTATGAGACGGTAAACACATGCAGCCATTTTCGAAATTCTAACTAAAAGTAGAAAGCCATTTTTTAATCGATGTCTTCCGTGGCGTTGCCGTCGTGACTGCTCTATTATACCTTTGGGATTACGGCTTTGTTTTTGATTGGCATGGGGTTATACGGAAATCTTTCCAAAGGTTCTATTTTACAGTTCTCCATAACTATTATTTTCTTTTCATTTTAAAGTGTACCAGTGTTGAAGATCAAGATCGTCTCCTGCGCGCTGCACACTCTATTAAAACCTCAATTTTAATAGAAAACTTGATGATTGAAAAAATTATGGCTGCTGTCTGATGATTTTTTATTTTATCAAAAAATGTTAAATTCAACGCTTATTATTGATCTAAATTACAATAGAGTTGTGCCGAGTAATAATTATAGTTATTGGTATCCAATTTCGCTTCGTAGAGTGCAAAGGACGCGCGAGACGAGTGCAAATATCATGCGATATTTGTACTCCAGAAAAATCCGCGAAATTAGCCCACACAAAAATAACAATTTGGCGCGTTGGATAATATATCTCTTATTAGACGTTTTGTTGTGTAGTATCGCTGAGTATTTTTACGAGTTTTGCCGTATTTTGACGAGCCTGTAGAACGAGTTAAAATACTCAGCAATACTAAACAACAAAACTTCTAATATATATATAGATATATGTCGATCGCGCGAGGATGACCTTTAAATTGCTTATATGCAGTAAAGTCGACGAGACGAGGCTTTTATTCCAGAAGAAATTTAATGGAAGTATCATTAAGATACAGTGTAACTAGCTTTTATTTCATTCGTAAGTTTAAGTCACAACGTTTTTGCTGACTCAAAAAGCTGCGCGCTGCAACGTGGACCCGCCATTTTACCTTGAGGAAACTCTTATCTCTAGGGGATCTGGGTCCTAGCAACGTCTCGTGGATGTCAGCAATTCTTTGATCATCCAAGATTTGCGAACTTTTTATTAACCTGAGGCGAATTAACTTTAGGGTCCTGAAGGCAAGTATCTTGTTTAATTCGATGCACCTGAAATTTTATGAAAGAAAATTACTTATCTCATAAACAAACCCCCAAAAATATGTGCTTCATGTAATGATAAACATTACTTTTACTATTTGAATCCTACTACGAGGATCGTGCATCATACGTACTTTTACTTTGTTGTTGTATGTACAATTGAGAATTTGTGGTGTAACTGCATGGAAGACCCTTAGAGTGGGCTTTGATAAACTGTGTATTATCCTTTGAACATAGCTTCAAAAGAAATTATGCTTTTTAGCACTGTATTATAAAGAGAGGTCATGGAAAGGTCAAGGATGTGTTTCTTCTGCATGACATTGCCCCCTGAAATGAAGTTGATATGGGGTGTCTCACTTTAACCAGAACTCTTAACTTTCCTTGTAGAGGAAAATGAGCTCAAAAGACTTGTATAAACCAGCAGACAGAAATATAGGATTTGACAAGAATGTGTGGTATGTACTGGAAATACAACTGATTTGAAACTTTATATGTTTTTAAATTGATATATATATCTTATGTAGAAGACTTCTTGGTGGGTTATAGTGTTTCAACTATCCATTGGAGGGTTATTTATGTCTGTACTTTAGCCCAGTGGTCCATTTAGCCGGATCATATCCAAGATTCTAAGGAACATGAAAGAACTAAGAGGATCACTACTCCCTCGTGGATGGGATGCTAGTCTATGACAAGGTTATCCCCTCTGTATTTCCTCAGTCATCCCTGACTAATTGCAAGTACTCAGCTATGCTTCTGGATGGAGAGCTGCGCTGTGAGAGTAAAGTGTCTTGCCCAAGAACACAACCTATCGACTCAGCAGGGTCTCGTACCCAGTCCTCTCTCCTTGGAGTCCAGAACACTGACCATTAGACCACTGTGTCTTCCATTTATATTGTCTACTTTAGAAGAGATTTCTTTTGCCTCTAGGAAAATAGTCTGCCTGTCCCATCATGATGGTAGCTTTTGTTGAACATATCTTACATTTTTATATGTTAGGCTACAATTTTTCTCTTCTTCCCCTCCCTTCCCCACACGTAGATCTTTTTTTCGTCTTCACATGCTGCCATGTTACTTGTTTGGTTTGGAATTAAACAAGTTTCAAAATCTTTATTTAAACTAAATGCAATGGCTGATTTAAGAAGTCCAACTTATCTTTTATAAGAACGTTGCAGTCTAACCTCTTTTTTTTTTAAAAAGGATTTTTTTTACAGCTTTGATGGTGTATGATCTATGTGCGAATGATTTCCTTTGTAACAGGGTTGAGTTTACTGCTCTAGCAAGAAACTATAAAGCTGTCAACTTAGGACAGGTAATAAACTAATCCTTTAATTTTAAAAAACTGAATAATGTTATCATGTTGACCAGCAGCAGCAGTAATTTTCCATACCTTTTTTTTCAGTTTATTTTTCTGTCAGACAAATTTGTCCATTTTTCTCTTTGTTTGCTCTGTATTTAAACCAAAAGCAAGTTAACATGGCAAGTTCAAATATAATCAATCAAGCAATGCAATCAGTCATTTGTTTATTCATGCGTGTTGTTTCTAGTGAACTAGAAGGCTAGTTCAAAATACATGTGTGCTAACATAAAATAGCTTAAAATAAAAGGAAATAAAATACAATGGAATTCCTGTAGAGTGTTTAGTTAAATACAACCCTCTGGATGTTATTTGATGAATACAATATCCCTTTTTCTAACCTGACAATTTGGCTAACCAACTCTATCATGGTTGCTTGTCAAAAATTCTGCACTCAAGTCAGTATTTTCAAGCCTTAATTAATGTATAAATTTGGTAAAATTATATATGAGTAACTATGCACCCATATTTTCATTAATTACTGACAATTACTGAATGATTGATGATGTGTATGCAACAATTAAATGTTAAGAATAATTGCGAGAAGAGTTCACCCCTGAATGTTTTTTCTTACTAGGATTCTTTTAATAGCTTCTTAAGATTATTAAAAAAAGCCCATTTACTTAGTTCTTCTATTTCCAATTTTAGGGATTCCCAGACATGCCCCCTCCTCACTTTGTCAAAGAAGCCCTTGGGAGGGTGGCCACAAGTTCTGATTTTGCCATCAATCAGTATACTAGGAGTCAGGTGAGACTAAGGTGTTAATAAATTTTTATTACACGACTCGGGCAGTCAGAGGGTCAATAACTAAAATCAACCAATCAAAATGCTCTATTGCCGGTCAATATTCTCTCAGTATTGGACCAGGCACTGTCCCGAATGGTCCCGAATGATACTGCACTTGTGTCCCTTTGAACTTCAGTCATATAATAAATCTCTTATTAACCAAGCTTGCTCGGGACCGTACTGGAAAAATATTGGCCCTCGGTCTTTTTTGTACAGACCAAGCTGCGCTCGGTCCGTACTGTCAAGACCTTGGGCCGATATTCTCCCAGTGCGGCCCTCGCTCTTGGTTAATAAGATATATTTATTAGTCCAACAGACTTAGCTTGATGCCTTGGGAATACATTATGCCTTTGACACAGATTTTAGCATAATTTTTTCTTTTTTAGCAGAATTTATTCTTAGTATCCCATATAGATTCAACAGTGATTTGTTGTTCAGATCTAGAACTTCCTTTCATAGTAACAGAAATTACAAATCATCATGCAATTTGAACATTTATTTTCAGGGTCATCCAAGACTAGTTAATGCCCTTGGAAAGCTTTACACTCAGTTATTGAAGAGACAGATTGATCCTTTATCTGAAGTAAGTTTTACTTACTAGGTAGTGTGATAAGTCCAGTTGTAAAAATCTAATGGTTGGCAAAAGGTATCTGGAGTTACTCTGGTTTTGCTCAATGAACTCAACAAGTATTGCGCCTAAAAACTTCTAACCTTCTCTTGATCATTCAAATAGACTTGTATTGATCATTTGTATGAATAAATTTTTTTAATGGTTTTCCTGTTGTTTTGGTTACTTTGTTTGGAAAGTTAGTCATAGTTCACTCTTCTTCACCCTTTAACTCCAATAAGTGACCAAGATGGAATATTTCTCCTTTCATTATCACTACAATTTCAAGCAGACAAGTAGTGAGATTATAAAGCAAAATAACAATTAGGAAATTGTTAGTTGATCTAATACCAAAAAATTCTCCAAAGTAACATCATAAGAATTATAAAGTAGACAGTAAGGAGAATATCTGATGAGATCTTGGGAGTAAAAAGGTCAAGTGTGGGCTCATGATTTCAGAGTCAGTTCAGTGGAATCTTCCTGCACCTCTCTGTTACTATGGACACTATAACTTGAATTCATTACAGAGTCAGGACTTGTTTGTTGTTACTTTCATACTTTCATATATATGTGCAGTGTTAGTATGTATATTGATTGTCTGGAAAAGTAAACATTTGAAATATGTTTGTGCTGGTACAAGGCATTTTTAATGTTCGAAATAGTATAATTATGTTTCTACTGAATGCTCACTTTGTCACAATAGTGCACTTATTTACCAACTGTCCACAAGATATTATACATTTAGGATTCCATTCCATAGTTTTTAGTCACAGGAGGAGCCTATGAGTCGCTGTATTGTTCATTTCTGGGTTTAGTAGATCCTGGTGATGAGGTAGGTACAAATAGACTCTTAATCCTTGACACCTGAACATCAGTATGCATATTCTCCATACTGTTCTCTTTACAGTTCTTGACACAGAGAATTTTTTGACATTCAAGAGCTTCTTTGTAAGAAGTAGATGCATATTTGCTTTCACTCAGGCTTTAATTTGTGTCAGCAAGAAACTTTGCTTTTTGTGCCTGCATTCGTCTGTACGGGATGAAATTTGCATCTATGTTTCTCTTGATTAACATGGGGTACGAACCTCATTTGATATAGCATGTTTGTCAATAAAAGGTTTACTCAAAAATTTTCACTCATAAAGAGATTTCTATTAAGATTTGCGGACTGACCTGTTCCAAAAATGCTTGACGTCTTTTAATGTGGGTCTACTGTGAATGCTGTGTATATATTGTGTGCATTTTGAATGTATTATACACAATATCTGTGCTGATTTTGCTCCACAAAAAAACTTCTCTTCCTTCGCCATTATATCATGCCATGTGCTCATCAGTCAAAATGTTGTGCATGCGTCAGAGGCAAAACATCATGCATGCATGATAAGGAGTCATGACTGTGATTTGCAACTGAATGAAAAAAAAAAAGAGCCGGAATTTCAACTTTATTTAATAATTAAATGATAGTCACTCTTAGAGGTGCAAGAGTCAATGAATTGTCCTGAGTCTGAGTGGTTATTTAATAAGTAAATCTTGAGAATGAATGAAATGTTAAACAACATTTATCTCTAGAGGGGGGTTGAGGAGGAAGTGCTTAATATCTAACCATGGCTTCTTTTTTATGTCACTTTCATACGATTTTAAATGATTGTTCAGACTTACTTTCAAGTTTGTAATCCTTGATCTACAGTCCTTTGGTCAAAATTGTCTTTTTATTTCCATCAGAGTTGTATTGTGCCAGTTGTTGTGTGATTTCCCTAGACTAGATAGTTCTCTTCTCTAGTTGGGGTACTTTTATTTATAGTTGTTACCTTTTTTTGATGTACAGGTTATCCTTATTGAGCCATATTTTGACTGCTATGTACCTCAAATATCAGTGGCTGGTGGAATACCAAAGTTTGTTCCTCTGAGGGCTGTAAGTATGTTGTTGCTCTTACCAGCCTTTAAGCTGAACTGTTGAGTTGGAAAACTGTGATCCAAGTAGTGTGGAATAAATAGCTCTTTCTTTGTTCACCAGAAAGAAAATGCTACCTCAACTAAGGACTGGATTTTAGACAAAGATGAGCTGGAGGCAGCATTTAGTGAGAAAACCAGAGCTATTGTCATTAACACTCCACATAATCCTATTGGCAAGGTAATTAAAAATGTTATTCCCTAAGCAGTGCAATCTGACCTGCAGGTGATACAGAGTATGTAAAACAGTTTTGTGAATTTTAATCTCAAAGGTGTTCAGTAAGGAGGAGTTGCAGGTAATTGCTGATTTTTGTAAGAAGTACAACGTCATCTGTATCAGTGATGAAGTTTATGAGTGGCTTGTCTATGGTGGAGAACAGCACATAAGGATTGGTAAGAATGTTTGTTCATCTTTTGTCTGAGTATTTTTGTGTAATCAATAGCCAATGATTTTAATTGCCTTAAGTTTGTTTCTCATTAATAGCTAACAAAGAAATGGTTGGTCAACAGTTGAGAGAGAAAAGCTCTCAGATCTTGAAAGCAAAACCTTGGATAATGATATCATTGCACTTTAATTTGTAACATCTGTTACAGTACCACCTTTTCCACCAGCACTAATACACAGATCTCTGGTTGTCTAATATTCAAACAGGGTCCAGTATACAGATGTTGAACTTTTTTTCATTTGCGAGATTTACTATCAAGTAATATTCTTGTTCTTTTAAATAGCCACACTCCCTGGCATGTGGGAAAGGACAATAACTATTGGTAGTGCAGGGAAGACCTTTAGCGTCACTGGGTGGAAGGTAATCTAATCATCCAGTGTATACAGTCAACAACCTTTAAACTTGTGTGTAGTTCTCATGTTGTGAAGTTTTATAATTAAAAAAGCTGCAAGAACTCCTGTCTAAACCTGCAGCTTGTGATTCAGACTGGTTAACTTTAAGCCAGGTAAAGGCTTCATAACTAAGAGGAACAGAGCATTATGATTACTTCTTCCACTGCTTGGCATTTTCCAGTTTGCTCTCATATTAAAGCAGCTTAATTGTTTGGACACTGCACCCTCCACCTTTGAGGTTAAGTTGAAATTTAAACTTAGAGTCTAGTCTAGTTCAGTCTTGCTTATAAGATGAGTGGCCCACACTGACACTTGTTCGAATAGTTTTCCTTGGTGTATTGCTACTCTTCTCAATTGTCCATTGGGTCTTCAGTGGCCTCCTTTATTTTGAGCTTGACAGGTGAAAGCAATTTTCAAACCATGAAGAGTAGTCTTTCACCAGATGAATTCTCAAGAACCCCAAGCAATTTTAGGCAGTAGTAAGAGGTACTTTAGGCAGTAAATTCTACTGGTTACTGTTTTAAATGGAGAACACTGGGTCTCCTATTGGTAAACAGTTCTTTGCTACCCCAACTGTAAATACTCCAGAGAAATTAAAATGTCTGGCCAAAGAAAACAGCATAGCATTTCATGACCATGCCTTGAACTTAGACCTATCATGTGGGAGCTGTGTGTGCCAACTGTTGGGCCTTTGCATGCATCTTCAAAAAAGAAAATATACTAAGCTGCACTTTCAGATAACCTTATATCATTGCAGCTGATAATTTGGATGCACGTCTGCAGTTTTCTTGGCTAAACATGGTAATACTAACATTAATTCTGAGAGTGTACTTTTAAAATGAGGGAGCATGATTTATTGTAATTTGAAGTTGTCATCATCTTTATTCTTTTCAGCTTGGCTGGTCAATTGGTCCTAAGGAATTAATTAAAAACTTGCAGACAACTCAAGCACAAATCACTTATACCTTGCCAACTCCCACACAGGTAATTAAACACTCAGGAAGTATGAAGAAAATTCACCTGAAGTTCTTAATTTATTTAGGTCAGAATACTAAATAGTTAGATGGTATTATATGTCTACCAAATGTACAATTTTTCAAAACATGTAGCTTGTGTTTGTCATTCACAGGAAGCCCTTGCCCAAGCCTTTGAACATGAAATTCCACTTATTGACACAGAAAAGTCATATTTCACAGGACTCAGCACCATGTTGGAGAGAAAACGTGATGTGATGGCTAAACTTCTGACTGAAGTTGGTTTTAAGCCAATCATTCCTCAAGGAGGTTACTTTATGATGGCTGACACATCAGGAATTGGTACAACACAATTTTTTGTTTTTATGCAGTTCAGGAAGATGTATTATTACATTCTTGCCTCAAGGAGGGTAATGGTGTGAAATTCATCAGGAGAGGGAATCTCAAAAACATAAATTTGAAAGTGATGTACTATGAAACATCTGGAATTTCCAGAGTGATAGGGTTTTAAATCACCTTCTTTGGAAGGGACATAATTTTTTGTATAACAACCAACCAAAATATCAGAATTTTATTATTGAATGGTTTTAAGGTCTGTGGTGAGTACTCAAGGAAAGATATGCATTTTATATGTAGAACCAACTTGAAAACTTTTGTTAAAATATCTTTTTTAGGAAAAAAATTTCTAACTCCAATTTCCAGATTATTTAAGATAAGTATTAGGTTTATCTTTAGAGGAACCATTACTTGACTCAGATGGGATACTGGTCTGTCACAATCAAATGTATGATAACATTTCTTTGTATTTTTAATTTACAAGCTAAAATCATTTTTATTCACCAGATGTGAATTTTGATGAATATGATAAAAGTGATGACCCTCATGACTACAAATTTGTACGATGGTTGACAAAAGAGAAGGTGGGAAAGAAAAACATTCTTTTGATAATGCGACCTTTAATTTCCATCAGAGATATTTTTCTATCTAGTGTATTAAAAAGGATTATTTTGTCTGTTATAGGCATGTATTGACCCAAATATCTTCTTCATTTGTATTTAAACAATATTATTTTTATCTTATATCTGATTCACACCAGCAAAACATGTTTAGTTAAACTGGGTTTATAACTGAATGAAAATATTTTGCAGTTCACAGAACCACACAAGCCTAAGACTTGAAAGCAATAACTCAAACATTTCTTTATGAGTATATTCCATCAAAAGTTCTACAAATGTTCTGGTCATCAAGCTCAGAACAGAATCACACCTTAGCAAGAAAAATTACAATAAACATGAAATACATGCAACAACATACCAACTGTTTCAAGTTCAGAGTGACTGTTAGTCAACAATCCCAACATGGTTACTTCTTTTTTTTTCTTTTTTTTTTNGGGTACACCAGCCGGCATTTACATCAACGTATTAATGAGCACCGTAATTCGGCCATCGGCAAACATCTAAAGAACGACCACGGCCTACAAACCATCGGCGACCTGACCAAGCATTTCAACGTACTTAAAAAGTGCACCGGGAAACTGGACTGTTTAGTTCATGAAATGCTTTTCATAAAAAAGATGAAGCCCTCTTTGAACAAACAATCGGATTCCATACGCGCGAAACTATTTATTTAATAGTTTACATTTATGAACTCAACACGCGCAATTATTTATTTAAATATTTTAAATATTTTAAACTTTTTACGTTTGCCACCTTCGTACGGTATAAATTAACTATTCATTTTTATTCTCTTCTCACTTGAGAATGATGACATGGAGTCATCGAAACGTTGTGTATTTTTCTCGCTAGTGTTTATTCTTAAATGTCTAACAAAATCTAATGTCATTCGAGTAACATGTAGCAACACATATTCTAGATAATAACCAGTCAGTACATTATATCTACTTTTATTTGATATTCATCATAGGGAATTGCAGCTATACCTCCATCAGCATTCTATTCCCCTGAACATAAATACATGGGAGCCAAATACATTCGATTTTGCTTTATAAAGGTAGGTAGTGCTTACCTTTTCATAGACCTGATTGAGGCTATTTTTTTTACCGCCTTTGTGTGTGGTTCTGAGAAGGACTGTTGTTGGTAGTAGGAATTAAGTGATGTTCTGCAAAACCTTAGCAAAAGTCTTCATTAGAAGTGACTCTAAGGTTGTTGAAATGTCAAGCACTAATTTTGCCAAATACAAATAATTATGTTCTTCATGAAGTACTCTTACTTAAACAGTCTGGTTTTAACCATTTACAGTTAGTAATAGAAGTTTACCATGCATACACCCAGGCTGTCTGAACATACAATTGTAACGATGTTATCTTCATGTAACTCCAAAATATGATGTAAAAATTCACCTCTAATGTTCTTTGTAATTAACAATTATTTGCCAAGGGGGAAGTGAATATTGTTGAATAATCCCAAAGAAGAAGTCTAGGGAATTATTTAACACAGTGACTATTTACTAAGCCTGAGGCAAATAATTGTTTTAGTATAATTGCTCACAACAAGTGCTTTTGAATTCTGTCATAAATTTTGTAAATAGAGAAAGCATTGCATGAGCACATTTTTCCAACTGTGTGTATTACTCATCACGAATTTAACAGGTGTATTTATTTCAGTCAACAAAAACATAATATCTTTCTTTTGAAACGTGTTCTGCCAAACTCAGCAGCATCTTTTAAACTTTTGTCCACTGAATTTTCCTCTGTCTCATTTATCACTTCTTCAGAAACATTGAGAAAATGCTAGGCAGCCATTTTGAAATGAGATGATTACAGGGAGATATGATGAAATCCTTGACCAGTCAGAGGGTGTGCAATTCTATAATCACCTGAGCAATTATACTAATATGGTGTCAATCCACAAATTAAATAGAAAATTGGATGCAGAAAAACTGATAGGTATTTCTCACACCCCAAGAATGTCTATAATTGAATTCAATTCAAGCTCACTTACATTTTACCATCAACTACTGATTAGAGGTAATTAAACTCACTGATGTTTTACTGGCTATATTGTGTGATTATGAAATAATTTTACCTTCAATTGTAGGAGGACAGTACTTTAGAGAATGGTGCAAAAAAGCTTAAAGAATGGAAAGCTGAACTGGGGAAATGAAAATTAGAAGAAAGGTTTAATATAAAGTAGTTGTCATTTCTTCTCTTGAATCATAAAAAATTGACGATTTATTATGTACATGTACCCAGAAAATTATAGGAAGTCTTCATATTATCATACTTACATGTTTCAAATGGTACTAATGTAGGGGTAGGGTTTTATAAAGAACCTTTCAAAAAATATATTTTTTAGGCATAAAACTGAGGAGATTCTTTTGCCATGAGACTAATAAACAAATTAAAATGTTGAATATGGGTGGTAGGAATAGATTGTCAAGTTCATAGGTGCTGCTTCTTGTTATTAATTTATTGAGGTAAGTCAGAGAATTCTGAGATATCTCTGACATTGTAGGTCATATGCAGTGGCCAAAAGGAGGTCAGTTGAAAAATAAACTCATACTTTTCTAAACAGTGAGTTTGAATTTACTTAAAATTCATTAGTTGGGGAACTATGAACCACACACAAGGCAGTGTTTGAACCCAATGAACAGGAATCCTCATTTACTTGAAAAGAAAAACAATATTTTGCCATATAAAAAATCTCTTGGTTAGAATTAATTTAATTTCAAACAACTTGGTGTGAATCTTAATAATAATAATACTTTATTCAATCAAATCAAAACAAAAAATAATAATTTGAAAGAAAGGGAGACACCAGAGGTTAGCCCTATCGAGGGTGTTTCCAAAATAATCATCTAGTTAAACATCTATTTGAATATATAAAATATGGGAACATTAAGTTGCGATTTAACTATATACAATACTTACTATAAAAACTATTTACAATATTATTTAAAAAGGTAATTCTTGACTTTGGTCTTAAATGTTCATAGAGATTCTGCTTCAGCTACGTCTTTAGGTAGTTTATTCCACAGGTTTACGATTCTGACAAAGAATGAGTACTTGTAACAATTTAATCTAGCTGATTTGACTTTCAATTTGTAACAATGATGAGAGCAGAGAGGATGAAAGGCACTAGCATAAGTAAAAAAAGAAGGATTTAGACCATTTAAACTATGAACTGTCTTAAAACATT